GTATTGAGATCTAAAATTGGTAAGTTACTCTAAATATTGTTGTATTGAGATCTAACATTGGTAAGTTACTCTAAATATTGTTGTATTGAGATCTAACATTGGTAAGTTACTCTAAATATTGTTGTATTGTAGTATCTAACATTGGCAAGTTACTCTAGATATTGTTGTATTGAGATCTAACATTAGCAAGTTACTCTAAATATTGTTGTTTTGAGATCTAACATTAGCAAGTTACTCTAAATATTGTTGTATTGAGATATGAAATTGGCAAGTTACTCTATGTATTGTTGTATTGACATCTAACATTGGCAGGTTACTCTAGATATTGTTGTATATAGATCTAACATTGGCAAGTTACTCTAGGTATTGTTGTATTGAGATCTAATATTGGTAAATTACTCTAGATACTGTTGTATTGAGATCTAAGTTGAGTTATTCTAGATACTCCTGTATTGAAATCTAAGTTGAGTTACTCTAGATAATGTTGTATTGAGATCTAAGTTGAGTTACTCAAGATATTGTTGTATTCATCTAAGTTGAGTTACTCTAGACATTGTTGTACTGAGATCTAATATTGGTAAATTACTCTAGATATTGTTGTAATGAGATCTAATATTGGTAAATCACTCTAGATATTGTTGTAATGAGATCTAAGTTGAGTTACTCTAGATATTCCTGTATTGATTCAGATGTAACGTTACTAAGTACTGCATGAATTTTTACTCTTAAATGTGCTATATATAACAGTAACCATTATATTTTATTACAATTGATCTTATAACAAATAATCTTTCCATGAATTCAATTACAACTGAACACATTGTAAACATAACCTTACCTTTACGATATTACAATTAACTTTGCCCTCTACGTTGATATTTAACCTATACTGTGACGTCACTGGCCTCCTCTGCAGGATCATCAAGTTGTTTCTTGACATGACGGGAAAGATGGTGTTTAAACTCTCCCGGTCCAGGCTGGAGGAAGTTCTTGGAAGTGAAGAAGGAGGAAGACTTCACAGTCACCTAACTGTACAGAAGAAGGTTAGTGGTGTAAGTATCAGTTCCTCTTGCTATAACATGAAACAAGATTAGGACATTTTCTAAACTGTCTCTGTTTGGTTTCAGTACAAAACAATGAATAGTCATGAACTTCAGACAATACTGGCTGAGAGACGTCGAAAGATCGAACTTAGTACAGACAGCACACCAACTCTTAGTAGAAACGAGGTTTGTAAACTGTTCGAAGGTGGCGTTACTCGAGGATCCGACTCTGGTGACTACTGTGAACCTGACAGATCCAACCAGAACTTTGATCACGAAGGTATTCGTCAAAGTGTCCTATATATATATAATATAGTTTGTAAATAAAACATATTCAAAGGTCAATCGAAATTTAACTCGTGATGGCAGTGGTAAATAAAGGATTTTTTCCCCTCTACACATACCCATATATCAATAGACAAAGTAAAGATAATTGGTCGAAAAATCAAAGCTCTGAAAAATGTAACTTAACGATGTAACTGTATATTGTGAAGGAGATAGCAGTAACTAACAATGTAGTATATATTGTGAAGGTGTGATAGATAGTAGTTACCAACAATGTAGTATATATTGTGAAAGAGTTATAGATAGTTGTTACCAACAATGTAGTATATATTGTGAAGGTGTGATAGATAGTTGTTACCAACAATATAGTATATATTGTGAAGTTGTGATAGTTAGTTGTGACAAACAACGTAGTATATATTGTGAAGGTGTGACAGATAGTTGTTACCAACAATGTAGTATATATTGTGAAGGTGTGGTAGATAGTTGTGACCAACAATGTAGTATATATTGTGAAGGTGTGATAGATAGTTGTTACCAACAATGTAGTATATATTGTGAAGGTGTGATAGATAGTTGTTACCAACAATGTAGTATATATTGTGAAGGTGTGATAGATAGTTGTTACCAACAATGTAGTATATATTGTGAAGGTGTGATAGATAGTTGTTACCAACAATGCAGTATATATTGTGAAGGTGTGGTAGTTAGTTGTGACCAACAATGTTGTATGTATTATGAAGGTGTGATAGTTCTGACCAACAATGTTGTATGTGTTGTGAAGGTGTGATAGATAGTTGTAACCCACAATGTAGTGTGTGTTGTTAAGGTGTGATAGTTAGTTGTGACCTACAATGTTTAAGTGTTTATATAATAACCTTTCTTCATCTGTGTGGTAGTTAGTTGTGACCTACAATGTTTAAGTGTTTATATAATAACCTTTCTTCATCCTCTGTGTGATGGTTAGTTGTGACCTACAATGTTTAAGTGTTTATATAATAACCTTTCTTCATCATCTGTGTGATAGTTAGTTGTGACCTACAATGTCAAACTGTTTATATAATAACCTTTCTTCATCATCTGTGTGATAGTTAGTTGTGACCTACAATGTCAAACTGTTTATATAATAACCTTTTTTCATCATCTGTGTGATGGTTAGTTGTAACCCACAATGTAGTGTGTGTTGTTAAGGTGTGATAGTTAGTTGTGACCTACAATGTTTAAGTGTTTATATAATAACCTTTCTTCATCCTCTGTGCGATGGTTAGTTGTGACCTACAATGTCAAACTGTTTATATAATAACCTTTCTTCATCATCTGTGTGATAGTTAGTTGTAACCCACAATGTAGTGTGTGTTGTTAAGGTGTGATAGTTAGTTGTGACCTACAATGTCAAACTGTTTATATAATAACCTTTCTTCATCATCTGTGTGATAGTTAGTTGTGACCTACAATGTTTAACCTTTTATATAATAACCTTTCTTCATCATCTCTTGGTAGTTTAGGTGAATCATTACACTTGGTATATTTTTAATTATAGACAAAATTCACTTATTTCTCTCAGGCATTAAACGGAAATTATTTCAAACTTTGAAAAATACTTTCTCGTTCCTTTCTATAGATTAAGGAATGATAATCATTATTTATAGTTACAATTATTACATGTTAAGCTACATGTTACTATTTTCACTGTACAATTATTACATGTTAAGTTACATGTTACTATTTTCACTGTACAATTATTACGTGTTAAGTACATGTTACTATTTTCACTGTACAATTATTACATGTTTAGTTACATGTTACTATTTTCACTATACAATTATTACATGTTGAGTTACATGTTACTATTTTCACTGTACAATTATTATGTGTTAAGTACATGTTACTATTTTCACTGTACAATTATTATGTGTTAAGTACATGTTACTATTTTCACTGTACAATTATTATGTGTTAAGTACATGTTACTATTTTCACTGTACAATTATTATGTGTTAATTTACATGTTACTATTTTCACTGTACAATTATTACGTGTTAAGTTACATGTTACTATTTTCACTGTACAATTATTACGTGTTAAGTTACATGTTACTATTTTCACTGTACAATTATTACGTGTTAAGTACATGTTACTATTTTCACTGTACAATTATTACATGTTAAGTTACATGTTACTACTTTCACTATACAATTATTACATGTTAAGTTACATGTTACTATTTTCACTGTACAATTATTATGTGTTAAGTACATGTTACTATTTTCACTGTACAATTATTACATGTTAAGTTACATGTTACTATTTTCACTGTACAATTATTACGTGTTAAGTACATGTTACTATTTTCACTGTACAATTATTACGTGTTAAGTACATGTTACTATTTTCACTGTACAATTACAGGCTGTTTGGATTTTGTTTTTTCTCTTCTTTGAAGATTGGGTTGGAAAATTTTAAACCATTATGTTTTTCTTTGGTTTCCTATTTTGAAAGTTTCAGAAACCTTTACATCTTTTGTGGATGTTTTTAAATTTGGTAACAATACTTCTTATTTCTGCAATTCCAGGTTATGTTCCTGCACCAGTTGATGAAACCCAAAAAATGAAAATAACAACTGATGAGTGGCAGCGACAACAACTGATAGCTGAGGCTTTGGCTGACTAGATAGTTTTGATATATTACACATACTGTATCTATAAAAACATATTGTTCACATTATCCAATATCTATAAATACATATTGTTCACATTATTCAATATCTATAAATACATATTGTTCACATTATTCAATATCTATAAATACATATTGTTCACATTATTCAATATCTACAAAAACATATTGTTCACATTATTCAATATCTATAAATACATATTGTTCACATTATCCAATATCTATAAAAACATATTGTTCACATTATCCAATATCTATAAAAACATATTGTTCACATTACCCAATATCTATAAAAACATATTGTTCACATTATCCAATATCTATAAATACATATTGCTCACATTATTCACTATCTATAAGAACATATTGTTCACATTATCCAATATCTATAAAACATATTGTTCACATTATCCAATATCTATAAATACATATTGCTCACATTATTCAATATCTATAAAAACTTATTGTTCACATTATCCAATATCTATAAATAAATATTGTTCACATTATCCAATATCTATAAAAACATATTGTTCACATTATTCAATATCTATAAATACATATTGTTCACATTATTCAATATCTATAAATACATATTGTTCACATTACCCAATATCTATAAATAAATATTGTTCACATTATTCAATATATATAAATACATATTGTTCACATATTATTCATCGGTTAAATTAAAATACAAACTTTATGGTATCACTCCTTCCTTTCGAAATACTTTTTCTACTATTATGGTTACAGACAACTGGTCAACGCTAAAATTATATCCACAACAAAACTTACTGTTTTAAGCCTAAAGTCGATGACATATTGAAAAACTAGTAGGCCTAAAATTGTTATAATAATCAAGTGTTATCCAACTCGGTTTATCTTCCGAATTAGTCAGATCGTGATAACAACAGAAGATCAAGATATTCGTATTATTTTCTGCCACCTCTAGTCACACCACGATAAAAATTGAAGAACAAGAATTTTCATGACCAATGAAGAAACAGTTAGATATTGGACATATTTTACAAGACCAATTAGGAGACAAATGGATATCAGAAATTTTAGCCTTCATGTCCAATGAATAAGCAATTATCAAGGAAAAGAGGTTTGATAATTTGAAATATTTTCATGATCATCGATGAGACAATTGGATATTGGACATATTTTTCGCTGACTGTACTGGAATGACTCAAATGTTTGAATGAAATACTTGATTGCCATGTTGGCACGTTGAAAGCGCTGATCTGTACAAAATTTTATGTAAACTCTGATGCGAAGAGCCACGATAATGTAAAACACTGAATCAAACTAAGCCTAAAGTAGTTGTAACAAATTAGCCACGAGAATGTAAAACACTGAATCAAACTAAGCCTAAAGTAGTTGTAACAAATTAGCCACGAGAATGTAAAACACTGAATCAAACTAAGCCTAAAGTAGTTATAACAAATTAGCCACGATGATGTAAAACACTGAATCAAACTAAGCCTAAAGTAGTTATAACAAATAAGCCACGACAATGTAAAACACTGAATCAAACTAAACCTAAAGTAGTTATAACAAATAAGCCACGACAATGTAAAACACTGAATCAAACTAAGCCTGAAGTAGTTATAACAAATTACGTAACTCGTCATATATTTCTTAAGATGTCTTACATGAGTAAGCTGAGATATTTGTGTAGCTTAGAAATTATCACAGTTTATACATTGTTACAGCTTAGACATTATCACCACATATACATTATCACACTTTGTATTGTCACAGCTGATTACCTAACACTTGTGAGAGTCAATAGTACAGTCACTACGAAAGATTTGTATGTTTCATGACCTTACACTTGATAGAAGGTCAAGCGGAGTCAATAATAGTTATTTCGAGCATTCTTTACGTTTCATTTACCATCAACTTTTCTATTGTGAACTTAGAAAATAAAATATCAGCCATTCAGATTGTAAAATACTATTCGTACGTTTCCTCCTATGTATAATAATGGTTGCTAGATATTATTTCTATAATTAAATAGTATCGACAATCTGAACATAATTATACAGTAGAATATCATTCTAACCAATAATTTAAAGGCAAACATTAAAACAAATTAAGGCATAATTATAATAGTTGCTGTTTTAAAGCCTTTCTTATAAAAGTTATTTTTGTTTTACAGATTAGAACTTCAAATTTACTCGCGTTTCCAAAATATATATACATACGCTTACTGAAATGTATATAATTAATGAAATACTATTTTCTCCTAGTTCTGTTAATGTAATATTTTTATTTTACTTGTGTCAATCACAGAGACAATTGACGTTTCTTGATCTTCAGATTATTGTCACTATGTATGTTATCAAGTACGTTAATAACAAGCTGCTATTATAAAAGAATTGATAAATAAAAGTATTTAATGTAGTTTTTTTTTTTCGTGTTTTTTTATCTTACATTCGATTTAACTTTTAGTTATTTAAATAATGAAAAATACTAACTTCTATTCTACACAGAATATTTTCCTTGTTTTCATTTTTTTCTTGAACCGATAAAATATTTCCAGCTAACACGATTTTTGGAGACATTCGGATAAGCTGCCTAAATGGATAATGTTTCACGAAACACTGGAACTGTGTTTAATGACAAACTATAAGTTAGTCATTCTAACGAATAGCCTAGCGAGTACAAAATAAAAAGTGTTACGTCATTAAGTTAAGCCTACTTTTCTCTCGATCTAGAAGTGGTATAAGCTTACATAGGTTGTTTTTTTAAATAGAAAAACGAGAATAATTCGGAAACTCTAAGCAGGTAAACAAAATCTACTGATTTACTACGATTTAAAGTGTATGCTTTCCTAGTCCTCATCGAAAGAGATCCTCCCAAAAGAGTTGTTGCGTCAGAGAGGTCACGTGACTAGTATCACGCCACGTCCTTCCCGAACCTTCATGAATTATCGGGATACTACTAGATTGGGGGTAGTCTGGTATATATAAGATGGTCACAACGTGACGAGGATGTGTAATTGAATGTATGCTGATAGAGAAAATATTGTTGGACACGTGAGACGTTCGTTGAGAATTATAGTGTTTGTTATAGAGCGACTGTTGAAATTAAGTGTATCGTAAAGTTGTATTCGGAAAGAATAACCCAGTTTTATTTAAGAAAGGACTTGTGTCGCTAAAGTTTCGTCGGAACGAATTTACGGAAAATTAACTAACGACTGGAGGTGTAACAGAGTGTTGGGATTGTTAGGGGTGGAAACCATAGAATGGTATCTTTAGACGGAGAGCACGTGTTTTGTGACGACATAAGGATCTAATGAAAGAGATGAGTTTATTCTGGATCTTCCAGAGAGTGTTACTTTCGTAAGATTTCACAAGAAATTGCCACCAGTTAATCATTATGGAGCTTCAAGAGTGTGTGATAACGGCTTGATTACTTCAAACTGATTTTAATGGACAATCACATATTTTATCATGTATTGGTTGATTTTTTTTATCGATGATTATTATATAAATCTGTCTTTTCAATTCACTCTTATTTTTCTTCTGGTAATGACTGATTTTTATTTAATAAACATAATAGAAATGATATTGTCAGTGTTTATCAAGAATAAGATGATTCGTGTGGTAAATAATATAATTATAGTTGAAATGTCTTTTTGACCTTAATACGCATAACAGCATGCGTGGTCTGTAATTATACAACGAATTTCGCTTTGACCCACCCCCAGTGGCTCATTAGTAATTCTAAGGGTTCAGATAACTAAAAACGGGGTTTCGATAGTCGTAATAGCAACAGAACAACTGACCACTACCTAACAAACACCACAGCTCACTACTGTAATAACTTATTGTTGTGGTATTTGTTAAGTAGTGGTCAGTTGCTCTGTTGCCACAATAAGTTATTACAATAGTGGGTTGTGGTATTTGTTAAGTAGTGGTCAGTTGCTCTGTTGCCACAATAAGTTATTACAGTAGTGAGCTGTGGTATTTGTTAGGTAGTGATCAGTTGTTCTGTCGCTACAATAAGTTATTACAGTAGTGGGTTGTGGTATTTGTTAGGTAGTGATCAGTTGTTCTGTCGCTTCAATAGCTAGAACGGTGTACGTGTAATGTTTCAGGTCTAAGAAATTATTTTTTATAAAAAAACGTACATATACATTTTACCTCTTGTGATTTGCCTTTCCATTTTTATAGATTTGTTGTTCTTACATATGAATTCAGTTCAGTAACATGAGTACAGCAATACTTCGCAGAAATCTGAAGATAATGTTACTCCAGTCTTCACGAGAAAGGAAATCGAACAAAATGATTACGACCTCTGGTGTTTAACTGTGTAGTTGAATCACAACTGAAAATGTCAAATGGCATCTAAGTATCTGGCTCTTTTTTTTCACGGCCATTTTCACCCATATAATCAATAAAACTCGATGTATGTACACCATAGTTTCATCAGTAAACTCGACGTATGTACACCATAGTTTCATCAGTAAACTCAACGTATGTACACCATAGTTTCATCAGTAAACTCAACGTATGTACACCATAGTTTCATCAGTAAACTCAACGTATGTACACCATAGTTTCATAAATAAACTCGATGTATGTACACCATAGTTTCATGAGTAAACTCAACGTATGTACACCATAGTTTCATAAATAAACTCGATGTATGTACACCATAGTTTCATCAGTAAACTCGACGTATGTACACCATAGTTTCATGAGTAAACTCAACGTATGTACACCATAGTTTCATCAGTAAACTCAACGTATGTACACCATAGTTTCATCAGTAAACTCAACGTATGTACACCATAGCTTCATCAGTAAACTCGACGTCTGTACACCATAGTTTCATATCGAGTTTACTGATGAAACTATGGTGTACATACATCGAGTTTACTTATGAAACTATGGTGTACATACGTCGAGTATAATGATGAAACTATGGTGTACATACGTCGAGTTTACTCATGAAACTATGGTGTACATACGTAGAGTTTACTGATGAAACTAAGGTGTACATACATCGAGTTTACTGATGAAACTATGGTGTACAAACATCGAGTTTACTTATGAAACTATGGTGTACATACAGCGAGTTTACTGATGAAACTATGGTGTACATACGTCGAGTTTACTGATGAAACTATGGTGTACATACATCGAGTTTACTGGTATGTACACCATAGTTTCATCAGTAAACTCGACGTATGTA